AAAGAAAGAAAAGAAAGAAAAGAAAGAAAAGAAAGGAAAGAAAGAAAGAAAGAAAGAAAGAAAGAAAGAAAGAAAGAAAGATGGAGGGAAGGAAGAAGAAGAAAGAAAGAAAAGAAATGGGGAGGGGAGGAAGGGGGAAAGAAAGAGGGAGAGAGAGAGAGGAAGAGAAAGAAAGAAAAATGGAGGGAGGGAAGGAAGGAAGGAAGGAAGGAAGGAAGGAAGGAAGGAAGGAAGGAAGGAAGGAAGGAAAGAAAGAGAACTGGAATTGATACCGAGAAGGCTTTGGAGAGAATATTTTCATAGTTGTGAACTAATTACTAATTAATTAATAACTAATTACTAGGAGAAAACCTGATGATAGAAAGAAAGTTCTCCGCATTTCGAGGTTTCAGCATCTTCCTCTGTTCTGTGAAAGAAGAGTCTGAAAACCCATTTGTCACATTCCAAAGTCAAAACCTTTCCTTTTCCTTCCTTCCTCTCGCTCTCCCTCCCTTCCTCTCTTACTTTTTCCTTTTTTTATTTCTTTTGTCTCACTCTTTCTCTCTCCCTTCCTTCCTCCCTTCCATTCATCCACCTCCTCCCTTCATATGTTCCTCCTTTCCTTTCTTTTCTTTCTTTTTTCTTCCTTTCCTACCCTCCCTCCGTTCCTTCCTCCCTTCCACTGTCTCTTTCCTTCTTCTTTCTTCTTTCTTTCTTTTCTTTCACTCTTTCTCTCTCTGCCTTCCTTCCATTCATCCATCTCTTTCCTTCCTTCATCTGTCCCTCCCTTTCTTCCGTTTTGTTCTTTTTTATTTCTTTCCTCCCTCCCTTCTTCCCTCTCTCCTCTTTCTTTCTTTCTTTTTTTCTTTCACTTTCTCTCTCCCTTCCTTTCTTCATCCCTTCTGTTCATCTATCTCCATCATTACTCCCTCCTTCCCTCCCTTCTTCGCTTTTCTTTTCTTCTTTTTCTTTCTTTTGTTCTTCCTTTCCTATCCTTCCTTCTTTCCCTCCTTCCCTCCCAACTCCACACCAACCTCTTTGAAATTTCCCCCCCAGTATTCTTACAACAATCTCAGCTAGCAGGAAATAGGCCATTTTACTTACAACGGATCATTGAGTCTGGGTTGAGTTTCACGTTGGCTGGACAGGAACTCTCCGATTCCGAAGAGATTATCGCAATACCGAAGAAGACCACAAACCCAAACCAGGGCCTCTTGAGGACTAGATCCATGGTGACTGACAGAAAGTCGGAAAGGAATCCTTGGCTGTAAAAATGTGGAATGAGAATCTCAGTCCTTAGATTCAGGGAGTAAAGTAGTGGCCTGATTTTGCTCTATTCTGATCGTCTCCCCTCACGGCAAAAATCCTCAGGAAAGGCTAGAAAATGATGGACACTGAGCTACTGTCAAATCACAGAAACACAGAAGAGGTGGATTTCCCTTATTGTAATTCAATAAATTACAATGGTCCATGATTCAGAGTCACAATGGTGGAAGGGACCTTGGAGGTCTTCTAATCCCACCCCCCTGCTCAGACAAGAAACCCTAGACCATTTCAGACAGACGGCTGTCCAGTCTCTTCTTAAAAACCTCCAGTGTTGGAACACCTACAAATTCCACTGGTGAATTGTCCACACTGTTGTGAAGTTTCTCCTTAGTTTCTATTCTGTAGCCTATTCTGTTTATTGGCATATTTAGTAAAGCATGACAAAGGCAAACATTAGTGTAATATTTGAATCAGAGCTATATCTCAATACATGATCAACACCCTAGCCAATATCGGCAGGAGATGCCTTCCAACTCCATTCAACCGTTCATCTTCTAGAAGAAGGACAGAGCCAAAGACTTGATGGGCAGCCCAATTCATGGGACAGAGCCCAGAAGTTATCGGATGACTGTCCGTTGAAAAGGCAACTGGGGGAAACTGACCGAATCATTTTTAAAAGAGTGAGAACCTCAGTTTACAACTCTGCAGAAGAAGACGAATGGGTGGCCCCTTCTNTTCCAGAGGGAAAAATTGCAGACTACAGGAACCATTTGCACCACTCCGGTGACTCTGAGGACACAGACAATCCTCCAAGTGGCCTCAAGGACCCTCTAAAAGGATGCAAATGACCAGCTGTCTGCAAGGTGTATCAATCCTTCCCTTCCCCTTCATCCAGTCAGAGCTGAAGAAGCTTCTTGGATGAGAAGCAGAATGTCTTCAAAGAAAAAGGCAGAAAGTCCTGTTGCCTCCTGAAAAAAAGCCCCTTTGGGACCACCAGCACCTGGAGGATGATGGAGAATCTCTACAGAGTCATAGACTGGCGTTCTGACTGGGAAGTAAGTTCTGGCCCACTCTCCACATCTGTTGGATCGTCAAGTGTTGTCTGGAAATTTGGGGGTTCACATCTCTAGAAACCTGGTGGGGTCAAAAGCCAGACTCCTCCTGGGCTACCACAGAGGACATAAACCAACTCACCCTTTGATGCCTTTGATCATCTTGCTATTGTCCCCCTTCTTCATTGCCTTCTCAACCATGTTCTGCAAAATGTTCCCTTTAACCATGATCACCTGAACCACTAAAAGAAAGGGGGGAGGAGGGAGAGAGAGAGAGAGTTGATGCTTAACTCAAGTTGTGCGTTCTCACTGCACAATGTGGCATGTCACGGCAGTTGTGGGCATGTTGGGGGGGGGTCTTCCTTCCATCACAGCTGCCATCCCATCCAAAGTGTTCCCATCTCTCACAAACATCTGGGGGGGGGGGAAAGCACAAGGAACCCAGGCCCAACCCAAGCCATGGGGCATCGTACCAGGGGAGGCCCAGCCCATCACCCCTCGCAGCTCCTCGACCCCTTTGCTGAGCCACCCCCCACTGAAAGCAAAGATTCTATTATCTTCTACTGAGGGGGGAGGAGGAGAGAGGGGAGGGAGGGAGGAATATAGAAGGAGAAAGAAAGAAAGAAAGAAAGAAAGAAAGAAAGAAAGAAAGAAAGAAAGAAAGAAAGAAA